GAAACTGATAGGTTAAACAAACACGTCTAATTAAGTGTATCTCTAATCTCGAATTAATTAATCTATTAGACATGCATACAATATATCCAGATGCATTAAGTAACAACCAAGTTACTTGGTGAGACCTGGGTATTTTCTTTAAAGTCCCCGTCTAAAGTTTGAAAATATTTTTTTATCATTCATTTACTTTTGTCAGGACTTAAAAAGTGATTTTAGAGATTTTTGAACAAAAAAGTTGAAATTTCTTAATCATCAAATATTTCTTAATGCATTTCAAAAAAGATTATATTTTTAACACCAATGCAAAGATTGAACAAAAGACACACTATTTCAATAATAAAATGTGATATTTAATGGGCCACTTCAATGTTTTAGCTTATCAAAAATATTTTGAAACATTAGTTATGTCACTAAGGTAACAAAAACTTTTTGAAAAAATTGAATTTTTTTTTTCGATGTCAATCTTTTCTAAATATGCTAGACTTTCATAAAAAAAACAATGATGATTGTCTAACCAGGTTAAAAGGAAGAGTAAATTATGTTTTAGATATCATTGTACCATTGGTTTCTATGAGAACTAAAATTTTGAGATGCATTTTTCTCAGAACCATTTTCATGCACTGATAAGTTCATTTCTCGCTTGTTTATCGACCGATTTTCTTAATTTTTTCGGAAAAAAACATGGGAGGATGTATGCTATGCATTGGTATGAATTGTGGCTAATTAGAAGATATGAGTGACCTCTAGAAGTTGGTTTTAAATAAATTCACAAATTTTGGAACAGAAAGTCTATCAAAAACCACTTTTTGAAATTAAAAAAAAAGTTTCACATATCACACTTTGATAACATTTGGTAAGACTACAATATTAGCCAAAGTGGTTTAAACTTTACATGGGGCCTTTAAGCAAGTCGACTGATTAACTAATAATTTCTCATTTGGGGACCGGAATGGCACATGGGAAAGACCATGTGACATCATGAATAGTGTGATTGACAACCTGGAAAGACAGGTAAACTAAATAATGGATCCGGTGTAAAAGTGTAGGAGGTTCTATCAAATTATGGTCCTACTCTCCATTGATTTATATGGTGACCTAAATACAACTCTTTCCCTCATTATCTTATATGCAATCAGGGCCAGTAAGGGCCGTTAAGAAAGGGGACCATAATCCCCGGGGTACCATCATTTCTTTCACACCGGTAAGCTTGGCATGCCGCCATGGCTGTGATGCCATATATGCAATGTTGATGTGAGAGAGTCAGTTCGCTCCGTAGCCCAAGTAGTAGAGCATCTGAAATGTAAACGGGAGGTTGTGGGTTTGATCCCTATTAGAGTAAAGTGACTTTTTCACACCAGCCCTTAGACCCTTAGCATAGGATATGATCCTATGTTTCAGATTAATGTGCTGCTTGCAGCCTTTCAATTCTTATTTGTTAAGCGTTTGTGTTGATTTGTGACGTATCATTACTAAAAGTAAGATTGTCAGATCGAACCATCTTGTGTATTTCTCAATAATTCATTTGCAGAAAAGTGATCTATTAGATCAAGTCGACTGATAATTGATTGACTCATCACATCTTTTTGTTTTTCAACCAGAAAAAGAACTATAATAAAACACCATGCTTTCCCATTATCTGGAAATAATATAGAAATGATTGGAATGTTAAAATCAATGATTAAGACAATGCTTTTAAAGGAGAGGTTGAACTGACTTAAACCATTATGTGTAATTAAAAATTCTTTTAGAGTCTATATACTACCATTACAATGTCTATTGTATACGAGTAAAACATCAATAACTTATAATCATCGCTTCAGATTATCAGATCTGTCAATGTTTAAGAAACAAGAAAAGAAATACTTCATACTTGAATTGTTCAGTTTATACTATCATTAATTAATTCATAATTTTGTACTTGGCATGTTTCTTCTAAGTATGTACATGGCATCCAAGCTAAAAACCGATAACTTAGGGGATATTGAATATGGTATATATATTGCGAGCACATTTTCTTTTGATAATTAAAGATGTTACATTTGTGAGAAAACTATTGATAGTCAGCGTGAAAACAATGAGACAAATCAGGTGCTTCGACAATAAAAGTTAAATACCATATTAATAATAAAACGAGCATAAGAAACTAATAAGATAATTAAAGAAAACAATATTAAGTACAAAGTACATTATATCTGTTGAAACAACTCAATCCCATCATTCAATCCTTAATACTAACAATCAATGTCAGGCCCGTAGCCAGGGGGGGGGGGGGGGGGTCGCAGGGTTCGGGCGAACCCCCCCCTGGCCAAAATTTCTTTCAAAATCATGCAGTTTTTCACCATTTTGAGCACTTCTCAAGTGATTTTAGCCATATTTGGGCCAAAATTGTCAAATGTGACCCCCCCTGGAAATTTTTGAAAACTGACCCCTCCCCCCTTGGCAAATCCTGGCTACGGGCCTGAATGTCTACCTCCTATGAAACACTCCTATCACCCGAATTGTTAACATTGAATACCGCCTCTGAACAAATCGGACCAGCTATCATGATCAATTTCATACTTATCCCATTTGACTGCTTCATCAGATATCAGTTATGGATACCAACATCAAAACCTACACCTCAAAACAAATCAGACTTAGCATCAGTAGATAATAAATACTATCAAAAACAATGTTCCAAAATATGACGTTTTCTTGCCTTTTCTTGCTAAAATAGCTTTAAGTTCAATTATCACAGTACAACAATGTCATTTTGTGATCGAGACAATATTTGTTTCATGCATGGCATATTCTATGAAGTTCATGGTCTGGTAAATAACTCAGTAAGCCTCTAATATCAATGTCTCGATGTCGTTGTACAGATAGAATGAGTTTATAATTAAATATAATTTTTTTTGTTTTTGAAGATGTCTTCCTTTTAAAAAGGGTTCCACCTAAAGTCGTTAATTAACAAATAACCATTTAACTTAAGTAGCCTAATACATTTATAGGATTTGGCCGAAGGAAGACAGGCCCGCAATCAGAAACCCAAATACCATGCACTGAATAGGTTGTTTCCAGTTGCACCACCAGGTGGCTAATTCGGGTCAGATAAAAGGACAGATATAGTAGAAAGTTACTGTATTTTTGGCTTCAGAGGCTGGCATTTATTTCATATCCAAAAACTATGAACGAGTATATCCCAGGAAGTATTTCTGCAGCATTTTGGGTTATCATGATCTTATCAGCAACCAAACTGTAAAATGATACGCCCAAGCTTCAAGATAGTAATTGAGTAGAATTTAGGGGATTAGTTGGACCTCTCAGCCATAGATGTTGGCAAGATCGTTTTGTAATAGGATCTCATAGGCTCAAAGAATAATTCAGAAGATGCGTCACTAAATTGGAAAATTTCAAAAAAGTGACCACCTTTCAAAACGTTCCTTATTCAAAATAGTACCTACTTCCCCATGACAGATTTTGCACTTAATTTATAGCTGAGATATTAATCTTTCTATTTCTACTTGTTTGGTTCGAGTAAATAACCTATGGACGCAGTAATTTGACTTTTAATACGGCAAATATTTTTCACGAGATCCGGACTCTTGTGTGTCCAAATATCATTGTACTGATGACGTCTCATTTCCGGAATCACAAGAGCACCATTCAGATTTGGACAGACACGAGCCCGCCGATAAAATATCACTGTTTTGGCCTCTTATCAACGCAGTATTGCTTGAATAACGTTCATAACGCTTCGAATGAGGTATGATTTGTCTCATATTTGTCAGAAATGGCTGCACAATCGTCATTTCAAAATTTGAAATTTCCATAATAGGTATCATATCTTCTGAATTATTCTTTGAGCTTTTCTGATCATAGTACAAAAGAATCTGGCCGGGATCTATGCTCTCAGCCTACCATCATACGGGAGCAAGTCAACTTCTAATAAACATGATTCAAGAGAGTTGGAGGTTGTATCATTATAGCACTGTATATCATAACAGACCAACTTGAAAACAAAAATATTAATCGTAAAGATAAAATAGTAATAAACTATCCTATTATCCATTATCTAGAATCCTTAAATAATGAGGTAGCAAAACCCACATGAGAGGCTTTCCTAATCGGATATAAAGACATCTAATGAACAAAAGCTACATTGAGCGGTGATGTGAGCTCTTCAAGACAAGGACAGGCGTAGATGGCTTAAAGGTTCTATAGCATACAACCCATACAATGTCATAACGATTCAAAGTACTCACATGGAAAGTTATAAACCATTATTGCTTACATTATACTTATCTTTTCCAGATATGCCAAGATATATTTTATGAAACCTTTTTTAATATCAAAAAGTTGTTTTTAAATAGACAGAAAAAGATTTTAAATCTTGCAGAAATAAATATCTCTAATCAATTTATTCGACCTGAAAATACTTATTTTTCCAAAAATGTTGCAACCGCGTAACAGAAAATATATCTTTTCAAAGGAATTATGTTAACACAGTTACCGAGGCATGCAGACGTTTCATCTGTTCATATCTATAAAAATATGGAAATATCTTTACATCCCCTTCCCCTTTATCCAATTGACATGTACATAGCACCTTTTCTATATATTTATATATTCATGAAAAAAAGTGAGCAAAACTAACAGCATGAACTAAAAACGTCCAAAAGTTATCGTTTAAATGATAAATGATCGTTCCAACAAAACAGTTGGCTTTGTTTATCTCATAATTTACTTTGGAAAATATAGCCAATATATCATTTACGAATCAATGGGATACCTCTGTAGCTACTTGTAAAACATCGTGTTTAGTAAATCTGTTTACACTCGACGGAAGAAGCTATTTTAATTATTTATTAAGTTTGAAAAATAATGTAATAATCGATGATGGATTATCATACCATAGCGCCCTTGATTTATAGTCTGTTTTCAATGACAATCTATTATCACATACTCAGCCAAGAAAAACAATCTTAACAGATGTAAGGTCAAATATCGTAGTAAATTACCTTCAGCTTTCCTGGCAGTGGCAGAACGTCCATAAAGTACACCGTCCAGGCAGGCCTCCCCTCCGTCTTGCTTATAAAGCTTTTTGAGAGCATCGCGCATTGCAGAAGTGATGTTAGGAGCATGTGTAGCAACTCTGACATTGTCACTTTCTAATGTCACATCTGTAGAATTTTCAAAACCCTGGTAAGCTGTCATATCGAGCGATAAGTACTGAATATATCCTCAATGTTGGTTATTGAATCCTGCAGATATACCGTATTTCAGCGTATTTTCACAGTTAGCATCTGTAACGTTAACGAGCAATTAAACCAGAAGTGTCCGAGTAATTAGACCAGTGAGACTGGCTACTTAACAGAATGATATATAAGTGTCTAATCAATTGAAGTGATGAAATCAGAATCTACAGGAAATAATCGTTCTTCTGCTTTCGCTCTCAATTGTAAATCATCAAGTTCAAGTCCAATCGTTAAGCTCCATCCGTCAGCGACGCTCAGACTGCTTTTGCCTATAAATATCTAGTCCTTATATTTAACGCGATGCTCAACCAGGAAACGCTGCCCAGCACTTCTGAAAAATATGGATTGAATATTAACAATTGTCTCGAGAAATATTCAATATCATCAAGCGTAAAAACAGGCTTGGTATAAATCATAATTTGATGTGTGTCTGCCTTCTTGTGTATAGTTTGCGAGAAACTGCCCATAAGTCACTAAAACTGGAGCGAGTAGTCTCGCGTCGATCGTGTCGCTTCTCGCATAAAAACGTGATTGAGCATTCCGTTAACTCAATGAAGGGAATCCATTTGTATCTTGGATCAGGACGTTTCTGAGCTGCTTGCTATCAAAGCTAAGCTAGGCGCTAGACGCATTGATACGTTTGCCAAGAGGGACTACTGTACAACATATGCCTCAATCCAATCATCAGCTCCTAATTTCCCGAATCGCTATCTTAAATTGCATCAGTCGCTGGTGCGAGAATTGTCTTTATCTTCGTAATTCCCTTTAATTCTAAGTGGAAGCTCATTGGTGTGTTGTGTAATATATTACATACAATAAGAAGGAAGTGAGAATCTCGTATTGTTCCCAATCTACTACAAACACTGGTGATCCGCTCGATTACGCTGGTTACCGCTCGGAACGTCGAAGGCACGATTTTTTTCCTTAATACACGCATTGTAGGCAGAATTCCCACGACTTTTTTTAATCAGAAACGTGTATCAGTATCATATGTTTATGAAAATGTACATGTTTGATGCGAACAAATAGTTCAGAAGATTCGTCGATTTAATTCCTCACTTTAGTTACGTAAACGGAACTTCAAAAACAAATAAGATCTGCACTTTTAAAGCCGTTTACGTAACTTTAGTAAGGTACTAAATCGACGAGTCTGAGGACTGTTTTCTTGTTTTCTGAGGAATTTGTTCGCAAACATGTACATTTTCTAAAACAAATGATACTGATATACGTTTACAAGTGAGAAAAATGTCGTGGGAACTCTGCACACAACTTGGAAACAAGGAAAAAAGATAAATCGTACATGTACTTTCGACGTTCCGACATTTTGTTACCGAAATCAGCGTAATCGAGCGAATTACCAGTACAATACAATACAATACAATACAATACAATACAACACAATACAATACAATAGCGTTCTTCTTAATTAGTCTTTATTTAAGACCATGGAACCCCATCTACTTTGACAACAGTTGTGTTAGTGAAGACGATATGGGGAGACATAAAGTCTTGAAGCAAGACTAAGAATTTCTTTTAGAAAAATGAAAAAGTCATAAATTCCAATTCATTGATTAAATATATTTATGATTTACGTACGTACTTTTATACTTTAAGATCCAAAATAGCATTCACATGTCATAAAACACTTGATTTTTAGTTTAAAAACTCAAACTTGATTGGGTTTAAGGTAGATACACCTCGTAATATACACTCCCCTCCATAAGTTTGGCAACCTTTTTCCCACATTGGACTACGTGTTAAAGCCTCTTTACCTTTGAATTTTTATTTACTTAACCTGCGATGAAAATACTTATACTATTGATGGAAACGTAATTTGACTTTAATTCCAATACCTCCAAATTTTCTCAATTTTTTTCCTCAAGTACAATAGGTCGAAAATTGATGATGAATTTGATGAACTTTTGAAAATCGACATTCCCATGTTAACCAATGGGAAATGGTAGGTTTGCCGCAAGTCATATGACAGAATATCCATCCATCCGAGTCCTTGCAAAAAATACGAGTTAGGCAGGTAATTGAATTTGCTAACTTTATTTAACAAAAAATTGATATGTTTCTTCAGGTTCAACAAAGTTATAGGGCTTTAAAGTCAAAATTGTTTTTCAAAAAACCTCTCCCATTGAAATAACACAGGAGGCGAAAAATAATTTTCAAAAATGACTTTGAAGCGCTGTAACTTTAATATTCATCAAATAAACTAAACACTTAGTGTTCAAAAAAGTTAGACAATTCAATTTTCTATATGAAAATATTTTTTGCTGAATCTTTTACTGAAAAGATATCCTGATTTCTGATTTGCCCTGAACCCTCCATTTCCCATTGGATTACATGAGAATGACGATTTTCAAAAATTCATCAAATTTATCATCAATTTTCGACCTATTTTAATTGAGGAAAAAAATTGAGAAAATTTGGAGGTATTGGAAATAAAGTCAAGTTACGTTTCCATAAATATCATAAGTTATTGCATCGCCGGTTAAGTAAATAAAAATTCAAACGCAAAGAGGCTTTAACACGTAGTTCAATGGAGAAAAAAGGTTGCCAAACTTATGGAGGGGAGTGTAGATTATATCTGAGGATATACAGAGAGAGATAGACAGATCATCCCGCTCCAGGGAATATGTCATGTGTTATATGTGATGCCGCATTATGGGACAACATTCTAATGTAAAAAATTCTAAAAATAAGAAAGAGCAAACAAATCTTAATGATAACGATGGAAATGAGGAAGCATCAAACTTTCTTGACCAGTAGATATCAACTATATCTACCTTTGGATATAAAACCTGAAGTCATGTAACATGTACAAAGTCATCGTTTCTGCTGGAATAATACAAACAATGGACAGTGACCATAACCATTCTGTTTCTCTCTGTGCTTTCTTGGGAAGATTCGTCAGGTAAGTAATTCAAGTACTTCAAGTACGAGATAAACCAGCTACCCTCGTATGTATAGTCAATTTTGGATATATATATAGTGTGTATCCCTTGAGAAATATCTATAAATCCCTCTGTTCCTTGCGGTCCCTCGAGGAGATAAATAAGGGTTATGTACTGGGAGGTTTTGGATATGGGGTTTATCCAGAGGGCGATATGCATATCTACCTAAGGGACCGAAGGTAGATGTGCATATCTCACGAGGGATGAACCCAATATCCAAACCGACCGTACATAACTGCTTTATCCTATACCAAGTAGTTTTCTAACCCTACTATCACACCAAACTAGTTCTCACTACGTTCTCGAAAACGGGCTTCAACTGTGTACGAACGGACTGGGCGAACTAAGAACCGTTTGGGATCTATTTAAAAACTTCATCGAACGTACTCGAACGGGTAGGTCCTCTAAAACTTAGACAATGCTCAAAATGTTCTCGTGGTCGTCACGTTCTACAATTAGAACGAGTGACAACGTACTAACGACGAGCTGGACGTACTACGAACGGAAACCGTCGTACTTCAATCCTACTAGGGACGTTTTAACAACGAGTTGAACTGTCTGAGGACGTGTTGAGAACGAGGTAGAACTCATTGCAAACGGGTTTAAACTGATTAAGAACGTATTTAACACTGCTTATGAACGAGTTAGCAAAAATATAGCTATCACACCAAACAAGTTGCCACTGGGTTCTTCAAAACTGGTTTTAAACTGTTTGCGAACGGAATGAACGTACCTGCAACTTTCTAAGGTCTATTTACGAACTTTATGAACGTTCTCAGACGGAAATGTGATTTTAGAATTTTGAATCGATTCAAAATTCGATTGCGACCATACCGTTCTGTTATCAGGTCATGATGACCTTCTAGACTAAGGGACGCGTTCTACGGCGTTGCACACCGACGTGGTGCGACCTGAACGAACTGCGAACGAGATGGACGTATTGAAGACTGTTTAAGAACGGAGAAGCTAATTATTTCAGACATATTTCCCGACCACAGCCAGATTGAGCCCGTTTTACGACGTTTTCGTAGGACTGGCAAGAACGGGTAAGAACGAGTTTGGTGTGATAGGGGGGTTAGTTTCACATTTTTCTAATTTTTTCAATTTTTTCGATTTTTTCATTTTTTCAATTTTTTATTTTTTTCAAATTTTTTTTCACATTTTATCTTTTGTTCAATTTTTCTTATTTTTTCAATTTGTTTTTCGAAGCGGGGATTGCCCTGGAGCGGGAGATATGGCGGGAGATATGGAGGTTCAGGATATGGAAACCTCAAAATCAGGATACGGGATATATCTTACCAACTTATCTCCCTAAAACTCTACTTGGCATAGGATAAATAGAGGTTATCCTATATGAGGTTCAAGATATTGGGATTATCCCGAGGCCAACGTAATATATCTGCCCAAGGGCCGTAGGTCACATTATTCAATTGGCCACAGTTCAGTAAACGTCCAACCAACCGAGGAATTATTCATGTCTAGTCTTGTTTTCATAGCCGTGACCGGATTTTGCCGTTCTTTCAGATGTGCATCCACATTTATTTTCTCGAATCTTTGATTATTATCAGGAATATGTATGCTCCTTCCATTCTCTAAACCATCAAACAGATCGCTCGGAGCGGGATGTAAAGGTATATCTGCCCGCAGATGAAAATATGAGTTTTTACAAACCTGCTTTATGTACCTATAACACGTCCAAGTATGGGATAAGTGAATATATCGTTCGGGTTCAACCCTATCCAAAACCTCCCATTACATACCCTTATGATTAATTGTTAATTTATTGCACATCGTCTACCCGCTGGCATCACATGCCACATATTGCCGCTGTCACGAGCCCCAAATGCGGAAGCGAAATATAATTATTCAAAAGGACAATGACAGATAGACAGGCATTCGCAGCTGAATCAGAATAGATGCAATTGCAACTGAACCAAGCGAAAAAGTCAGCATTAGTCAAGATATAATATTAGAAACATATAAATCAGTAGACTGTAGATGTTACCGGAAAGGACGGCGATTCTAATATAACATAAACTATAGTTAATTGGGAAATAACAAAAACATTGTCGACATAAAACTTTCTTTGGATTCTATCATGGAGTATAAAAACGACGTTACCCATCAATCCAGAGGCAATTATTAAAACTGGTTATCAGAAATAACAATATAAAGGCCCCTTGAAACACTTTGTCTAAATCATGATAGGCTGACGCATTGATTAATATTATACCAAAAAGGTTAGTCATGTTGTATATCTTATCTTGATGGCAACTAACTTATGATTTTGAACGCAACGAAGAGAATGTGTTCAAATACATCCACTTCAGGGATATGGTAACTCGGAAGGTCTCTCTCCTGACATTTTTTGA